CACAATCTATTCCTTTTTCAATTATTTTGGTGGGAAAAATTATGTCTATAATGTTCTTCACTAGGTATTTAACAGAGCATAATTTTCTCTTGAAGATGAAACCGATTTTTATCTACATCTTATTGTTAGGTCAGCAAGCATTAAAGTCGAAAAGTCTTTATATATATGATATTGATGTTCTATAATACTTTTCATATATGCCTGAAAGCAAAAGGAGGTCATTTTACGTGAGATCTTTTATGAAATTTGCGAAATATTTTTTGTGCTCTTTTTGATTAAATTGGTGAATGAAACAGAAAAATAAGAAAAAAGCAAAAATTTTAAATTTCAAACTTTCTTCGGCTACTAAAAAATGATCTCCTTTTGATTCTATATTTAATTTTGAATATTTTACGCCAGGATTGTAGAGCATCGAATTTTCTTTCAGATCAGCACTTTTCCAGCTTTTAACTGTCTTGAAACACAAGCGATGATGGAATTTGATGAATTTCATTTTTTCATATTTTTCGGTTATTCTCATTAAAGTCAAGTTTTAAAAGTGAAGATCGATTCTAGGAAAAAAACTCTTTTTATAATCTGATAGAGCGTGAAATGCTCTATTGATTGATATAATTTTGTTTTATTTTAGCACAAATTTCTTGGTTAGGAAATGTGAAATACTGAAAGACGCCAAAATCTGCTTTTGCATAGAACGAAATGATTTTAATTATAAAAAATCTATATAAAGAGATAGAATATCGTTCTTTAATAGGTGGTGTAGCTAAGCTCTCATACTATCTGTATGACCATTTGAACTAAACCTGTACCTAATAATATGAGAAAAAAACTGCGGAAAAAAAATTTGAGAAAAAATACTGAAAAATCAATTTCACTTAAATTTTTGTCCAGGACTGTACATTTGTCTTTTATATGATAACACAATTAAGCGAATTATAACCTTGAAAAATATGACATGTTCAACTTTTGTATCAGTATGTAGCTTATTTTTTCATATTTTGACGAATCATAGATAATTAACTATCTATAGATATACATTTTACCTATAATTTGATATTTATTTAGTCCTTTGAACAAATTGAATTCATTTAAAGATAAACGAACGATAATTCATATATGTTTACGTTCGTTTTATATGTTACAGTTTATTATCTAATAGTAAACAGTTTTTACAAACAAAACAAAAAAACAAAAAAAGTTCACAAAAACATTTCTTTTTTTTTTTCTTTTTTTCATTTTCTAATTGGTTGTTGTTGTGTATTTAGTTGTTGGCTAACAATTGAAGGATTTGCTGTCGGCTGTACATTAAATTGTGAATATGCTTGAAAAATTCCAGCTGCTGAATCAGCTACTGTCGAATTCAATGGAGACTGATAAACATTTTGTGGTGGAATTGGATAGAAATATTGAGAAGGTTGAGACACAAAATTGGGAACTGTTACGGATGTTGCTGATTTTAAAGTAGAATTAAATGGTAACGATGGAGTTACAGAATTATAAGATGAAAAATTTTGTGCACCAAATGAAGTTAAAGATCCAGTTGTTGCTACTGATGGTGGTGTATAATTAAATGCAGATGATACAACAGGTACTGATTCAACTTTTGGACGTGAAAATGAAGGTTGGCTTTTTTTTTTTTGTTGTTGAACATATTCTTTTGCTGCTTCTGCAACATTGTTATTCGCTTGTGAAATATTCGTATTTTCAATTTTAACAATATCAGGTAATTTATCCAATGAAATTTTTGTTATAATAGATTGTGAATTTGTTTCTCCAGTTGAATTATTTGGTTTGACTATATTTGTTGATAGGATTTGACGAATTTGTTCAGCAATTGACGAAGATACTTCGGATGAAGAATTCGATGATTTTCCAATTGATGAATCTGAGATTGGAATGGATCTTGTGTCTGACACAATACCAGAGCCTTATTAGAAAAGAAGATAACCATACCAACAAAATTTTCACAAATTATCTCATCAATTTAATACAAAGATGTTATTGTTCTTATAGAAGTATTGACAAAAGTTAACAATTAAAATACTGCATAGGCACAACTTTTTAGATCAGATTCGAATAGAAATTATTTATCTGTATCCTATTTGTACTCACATGTTGCAATACTTTATACAAATTTAGTCTATTCTTAAATTAGTAAACAATGTCTCTACTTTTTCTATTGTTGTTATACGTTCATTAATTTAGCTACTGCATCAATCTACTCTACATATAGATATAATAACATAGGAAATATCACAACTTGTTAGTTTGCATTTTGATAAATCTGCAGCTCTTACATTTGGTATTTATCGAAAATTCGATTTTGAATAGGTTACTTGGATTATAGGAATTTTTGGTCATGTCCAAAATTCTCGTGACTTTTCAACTCGGATCGAATGTCATAAAGAACTTTCGGTTCGAGCTTAATTTGATCTCAGAAATCTTTATAAAAAATCTTATTTCTTTAATTAATTGCTGCATTCCGTAGTGCTGAACAGTATGTATTTTCATTAAGATGTACTAATCAGCAATATGGTGTAGTACTTGCCAGAATGATTTAGTCCTTAGAGTATTGTGTGTGGCTTCTCTGTGCATTGACAATCGCCATCGTACTCCATTCATATACAGCTAAAATATTCTCACCTACTCACACCCACACCATAGCACTATATATTCAACGCCATGAAATGTAACAACTAATCAAAAAAAATAAGGTTTTTTTATAAGATTAATAATGTTAATTTATGTCGATATCATAAGTCCATCATGACTTTTGATCAGGGTCAAAAATTTCTTGAACCGCAATTCTAGTCTCTCAGTTACTTATGATAGAGTGTTCTATGCTAAATTCAGTATATTGATAAGTTATAAGACGTTTTATCTTACTTCTTTCTAAATCTGTTGTTGATGACTAAAATACTAAATGCTTGGAGATATTAAAGCCTACTGATATTTAGACCCTTTTAAAATGCTTAGATCATATTAAAACTGCTCCTCAATGGAATAAATGAATGAACCAACAAATCCAAAGTCTCATTCATGCAAACTTAGAATAAATGTAACAGCGATTTGCGTCAAATCTCAATAAAATTATCAATAGATTAACATATTTTTGGTGGCAAAAAATAATAAAATATTTTATCTTAAATAATATATTTTAATGAGAATTCTTCTCTTGTCAACATATAAATTTGATATCTAATTCATTAGGGATTATAATCGAATATTGTTCTTAGATTAATAAAAATACTTACAAAATGAATATTAATAAAATATAATTCTATTAGGGGGAATATTTGACTTTAAAAATTGTCTCAATAAAAAATTTAAAAAAATAAAATAAAAAACTAAAATCACCTGTTTGATGATTAAATGTGTTTATTGTTGCATATTGAGCAGGTAATGGTGGTAATGTACCTGAAGGTAATGTTAACATTTTAGATTTTTTTTCAAGTAAATAAACAAGTACACGATCTATTTCTTCTAATGTTAATTGTCTTCCATCAGCCAAAAGACATAATAACATTGATAATGGTAATCTATCACCAAGATTTAATATAGGTGGATTTATTTCTTCTTCTGTAAGATTATTTGATTGACGAGGATATTCATAAGCTGGATTTATTTCAGAATAACCAATTGAATCATTATTTTCATTATATGAATTTATTTCTTCATTACGAAAACGTTCTTTATATGAAATAAAATTTGTTATTATTATATGAATACCATCGTCCAATGTTAAATTACGATGTTCTAAAATGAAAAAAAAAATTTTTTTTTTTCTTTTTTTTTTTTGAGATATTTTAGAGTGTCAATATAAATCTAAGTATTTATTCCAATGTCAAATAAAATATATGAGAGTAAAAATAAAGATTTAATCTTTTGAACTATAATTTGCATCTAGTTCGAGTATTG